ATATATTAAACAAAATCTCATGAGTGGCACTACTGGTGGCTGTCTATGCTTTTTCTAGATCCAAAATATATTACAGAGAGGAATTTTTCTTAGCTATTTCTGCATACATATTCTACATGGATTTTGTGAATGATCTGAGCCAGGCTGGCAGAACAGGCTGCTGCCTTTTCCATCCATGGAACTGAGGCAGAAAAAGTCTTCATACAAATAGGAAGCTACACAGGACTACTTGCTATCATTAGGTTTAGCAAATTGCTAACAGTTTTCAGGTCATATTATCAGCTTGGGATGTAGGTACAATTTAGACATCTGGATTCTATTGCAAGTGCCTAAATCTTTATTTTAATTTTGTTCCAAATTCTTCCTCTGAGGAAATTTGAGATCTGCACAATTCCTAGACATAGGATGAGGACTCAAGAAGCCAGTGAACTTTTGGGATTGACACATTCTAAGGAGAAGCATGAGTACTCATACTTGGAGTGTAGCAACGCAGGCAGGGAGAGAGAGCTGATCCTTGTATATAAAAATCACAGAATCTACAAAAAGGCCCACTTATTTGCATAGAAATTCTAAATCCTCATCAATTTAATGGAAGTCTGGTATACTCGTGAATTGTTGGCCAAGATACAGACTGGAAAAGTTCCCAAAAAAGTGTTTCATTACTTGTGTGGGTGTGGGGAAAGTGCTATAATTCTTCAACTGTATCTGAGTAGTTATGTTTCTTTATCACTTTCTTAGCCAAAGAACTATTTTTAAATTGAATTAAAAATTGCTACTTATGCAGTTATCTTGTGGATACTCTACAAAACAGCATTTCTGTAGCTATCTTGGGTCAAAACAGCATGATGAATCAGCATGAAAACACCACCAGTTCAAACACAATTAATTCCCTTTATTTTTCATTCCCCACTAAGATGTGGTTTGTATCCATCCCTCATAATTCACTCATAATGTTTCCTCACTCTTAAATGTAAAGAATGTTAAGGAATTGTGATGTGATATAATCTATTTAATTCAGACCCAGAAAAGAGGAGCCTTAAGAGCAAAAGAAAAAATATCCCAACACACTAATAGGAAATTCTTAAAGATGAATTCAATTTTGTTCAATTATCCTGCAAAAGCCTCTGTAGCTCCTACTGCAGAGCTAATACTCATATCACAGAGGGAGAGAATAGCAAAGGTAATCATTGGCTGAGTAGCAAGTTGTCTTCCCTGTTTAATCCTTTAAAAATTTGAAAAGGCAGAAATACTCTTGTCTCTCCATCATACCTGTTTTAGTTCTGACAGACCTGCATGTAAGCATATAGCCTTCTTCCAAGTGAGGGCTTAAATAAGATAGAGATACCTAAAATATATGTTCATCTCATGTCCCCCTGACAAAGATCTGTGAAGGTTTTTATCTTGTGGAACAAAAGGGAAGATATGATCTGAAGAAAAGCACAATAGTCCAAATCTCCACAAATTTAGATCTTTGTGGTAATCAAACAACATTTCCAACCTAGCTGTTTCCTTGTACACCCTGTGCATAGTTAGATATCCCCATAATAGCACTAACATCTACTTTGCACCCTTAGAGTTTGTACAACTTAGAACAGAAGCAACTTAAAATGTACAAGAAGTGCTTGGTGTGTCTAACTAGGAAAAAAATACAAGGTTTTCCAACAGAATGAAACCAGCCCAATTGTATATCCTATGCTAATATTCTTCTTTCAGGATCTGATATATTCAGCTAAAAACCACATCCACCAGTAAAGGCTGTGCAGCAAAATCTCTCTGTGAGCAATAGGCTGCCAGCTGCTGGCATTTCAGGGCTCTCAGTGGCATAAGCTGAGTAGCACATATTTCTGCAAGGGAAACAAATCAAAAAGCCTTTTCAATTTACTCATTTTATCCTTCTCGGTAGCTCCTCAATGCCTCTGCTTTACTAACTAAATTGTTTGTTTAATAAAAGGTATTATTTCTCTTTACAAACCCTGCCTAACAGTTTGCAACAAATATGGTTCTTTAAGATTAATTCAATAGCAATATTCTTTCAACTATATACATGATTCTCATATCTGCTTTGGGAAGAAGCTAGAGATTCAACAAATTTTAAAATAGTCAATTTATTTTTCCCTCTGCACTGCTTACAACAGCCTCATCTTTTACTTCAGGAGAGATGTTACTGGATCACAACAAAAGTTTCCTATAGTGCCCTAAAGAGACAGGTGATAGCACAATTCTTAATTACATTTCAAAAATGTTTCCTTGTCCTGTCTTAGCCCTACTTCCTAAAGAAATGTCTCCCATGTACCCTCAGGATTTTCAAGTTTTAATTACCTCTAAATGCCTCTGAGGATAGTGGCCAACTTGAAAGACAGTGAATTTCATTCACGTTCTCTGCTTCTGTAATTTCTGACTGAAATTTCCTGGTCCTGTATTTGCATAGGTTGCCCTGTGATAGTAAGACTAGTAAGGGAGGTATCATTGCTAATCTTCTCCTCCTACATAACAAAACATGGAAGTGATTTCACCAAAGCCTTGGAAAAATGGACCTTGTGGAAATGGTCTCTCATGCACTGTATACAATGTGATTTACAGCTCCTGTAGCACAAACAAAACTTAAACTGGCCCTATGTGCTCTCAGAGAGAAATTTTCCTCAGTGATCATTCAAGGATTTCCTAACTACATACATGTAAGAACAGCTGCCAATGTGACAGCACCATTACCATCAAAGCTATACTGGCAACATTTCATCATTCACATTTGATTTTCATGCTGCCTCCCTGCTTTGCATATTTTGTAGATATGCACTATTCAAAGATTTCTTAATATCCAAAACTAATATTTGGCGGGCTTAGCAGTATTACAGCGGTGTAAGATTAATTACTTTTAAATAGGATTACAAATCATGGAGATTTTTTAATTCTTTATTGCCAACTAGTAGAGACATTTTGTTAATGAATTGCTGGCTTGTCTCCTTTTATTTATGATACCCACTATCTCAACTATATAATGGATTTGGGTGGCAGAGGTTAAGCCTCATAAGTCACAGAATTTTAATTTCAAGTAGGTAGTAGACAACAGTATACTGAATTATGAAGAGATGGTGTTCAATAAACATTCAGTGAAAGAAGTGAGAACACAAAGACTAGAGAATAATTCTAGTTTAAATCAGCACTAGCTGGTGAAAATCAGCCATTTACAAGAGGTTATGTTCTTTCTCAAAACAGAGATACATCTCTTGTTAGTATTTTAGGGGGAGAGGGGAGTGGAGGGAGAACTGAGAACAATAAGAGATGCAGCCATCAGTGTCACCAGTTCAGTCAAAGCCCCTGTTCAGCACACAGCAGGGACCTCATATGTTAAACTAAGAAATAGAAAAGAGCAAGAGCCCAGTGCTACAGTGTGAATCATCACACATCCTTAAGAAAGCTTAATTATGTCAACCTGTTTTCAAAAGGTTGGTAGAGATGGAGAGCTCAGAGATGGACATAAGAACAATCAAAGAATAGGAATACTTAATGGGGAGAGAGTGTAAAAATGAAATCACCTATCTTACAAATAGAATAGAAAAGCAGAGAATAACATTGGGAAGGCAGATAAGCCTATTCATATGCTCTTGCAATACAGGAATTAAGTTTAAAAATCAACTTAGATAAATTAAAATTAAGCAAATGTCAATGTAACAGCAATTAAGAAAATCAAACCAACACCATGAAAACAGATCGTTTCATACTGTCAGAATCTGTATGTGGATTTCATTGTCACAAGATGCTTTGCAGCATTCAGCTAACTGCTGGCCAATATTGAAATCACAAAATAAAAAGTACTAGAGCAGAGGATGCTTGTACAGAAATTAAAGTTCTGAAATTAACACAAACTGTGATGCTTCCTGATAGGAAACAACCTCCATTTACTGTAGGAATTGCTTTTGAAAGATTGCTGCATTGCAGAAACCTAATGTAGAGCTTTTCTTAAAACTTTCTGAAGCAAGCAGTCAAGGCTGCTGTTGGATATCAGAGTTGGTAAACTACTTCTAAAATCTAGTTACGAGGTTTTTCAATTTCAGCCAATTGTGTGAACTTTTAATGAAAAATTACCTGCTAGCTGTTAAAATTTTTGGCATAGAATTTAGGCTGTGGAAAAGGGAAGCTACAGGCTGCAACTTACTTTAGAATAGAACCTACATGGAAAAAAGGAATCTGTCAGCCTTCCCCTCTAGAGGACTGACACAGGCAAATGTGGGCTCTATGGTATGGTTTTTACATCAGAACTGAACACCTAAGATATTCTTCTGCAGTGTATACACACCTCCTTGTTACCCCAGTCACTATCTTTTGGAAGAAGCTAAATGCCAATGAGCATAATTGGTTTTTAAGACAGCAGGTGCAAATTTTTAAAAAGCAAACGTTTTAAACTAAATTTTCCTTCAAACAAAACATTATTTGTCAGAAATGAAATTGACCTATTCTGGGATTGTCCTAGAATAAAGATAAAACCTTAGCAAGCTATAATTACTGCACCTTCTCTGGTCTGGTAAAACTCCGCTGAACCCAGTGAGGTTGCACTGTCACTTTGAAAGAATCAGCTCAAATCTACCTGTGGTATAAAGCAGTTTAAAGACATATGTTCCAAATATTAAAGCAGCTGGAAATGCCCTATTTACTTGCACAGAGCCGTGGTAAACGGTGACAGTTTAGGTCCGGCTTTGCTTTGACACCCTGGCTCCCGAGTGGCAGCAAGGGATACCCAGAGGGACAAGCAGGCACCCGGGCTGGCGCACGGGCGGCAGCTCACCCTGCTCCGGCGGGCTCCTTCCAACAGAGGGGCTGCGGGCCGGCCCTCGCCTCGCTCCCTGCTCTGAGCACGGCTCATGTCCAGGGACCCGGAGGAGGCAGGAGAGCGCAGGTGGGACCGCTCAGTGCCGGGCCCCCGCGCCAGGGTGCGGGCAGAGGCGCGGCCGGTGCCCGGAGCGGCGGGAGGCCGGGGCAGGGCTCGGGGCGCCGGGCTCTCTCACCTGTCGATACTTATCACACAGAGGGTCATGATGGAGGCCGTGCAGCACATGACATCCATGGCGATGAAGACGTTGCAGAAGAGGCGCCCGAAGATCCACTCCCCGCCGATAAGGTCGGTGACGCTGACGAAGGGCATGACGGCCAGGGCCACCGAGAGATCGGCCAGGGCCAGCGAGACGATGAGATAGTTGGAGGGCTGCCGCAGCTTCTTCACGAAGCAAACGGAGATCACCACCAGGCAGTTGCCGGCGATGGTCAGCAGGGTGATGAGGCAGAGCACGGCCCCGATGAGAACTTTCTCCGCGCTGCCGTAGCTGAGGATCTGCTCCCCGCACTGGGTGTCGTTGGCGGGGAGGGGGCTCGCCGTGGGCAGCGCCGACGGGGGGGGCGACGGGCCGAGCTTGGCCAGGCTGCGCGGGGGCCAGGAGCCGGCGATCATCCTGCCGCCGCCCAGCGCCCGCGGCTCCTCCAGCGCCAGGGGCCGCAGGTTACCGGAGAGGTGGCTGCCGTTGAGGGCGAGCACCATGCTGCCGTGAGCAGCCCATGAAGCCTCGCCGCCCGCTCTCCGGCTGTCCCCGGCGCCGGGATGCTCGGGCTCCTCCTCGGGCGCCCGGCGCCGCCCGCCCCCTCGCAGCCGGCCGGGCGGCCCGTGGGGGCCCAGCCCGCAACTTCCCCCGGGGCAGCTGCGCTCGCCCGCCGCGCATCCCGGGCGGGCACGGCGCTATCGCCCCCAGCCCGCGGGCACAGGGGCGGGCGGGGGCTGCGGCCGCTCCCTCCCACCCGCGCCCATCGCCCGCTCCCACCCGCGGCTGCTTTCCGAAGGCGACGGGATGGGAACCGCTCCGCCTCCCTCTCCCTCCTGCCCTCCGAGCTGCCGGTGGGGGTGCGCCCCTTCCCCGCAGTCCGGGAGCCGGTTCCTCCTGTGGCTTCTCCTTCGCGGCCGCCCCGGGCGAGGGGCGCTCTGGGATCCCCTGTACCTGTGTACATGTGTATCTATGTACATGTGTATATGTGTTATATGCGCACAGGTCTCTCCCGGGAAGAGGCGGCCGCAGGCGGAGGTGGCCTGACCGGAGCGGGGCTGGCGCCTCTCGGTTTGCCGGCTCCAGCACAGCCCTGCGGCACGTCCCGTGTATGTAAGCACTTCTCCCTGTATCCAAGCTTGCAAGTTCTTCTTCATAATAAGTTGGTGTGAGTACCATCACCTATAGTTTCTCTTCTATTAATATTTTGATACCCTGATTTTGAATTTACTCAGTGCTCCACGTGTAATTCCTTCTGTAAAGCTAAAACCAACAAACTCCTATTGCTTGAATTACCTGCTTTTCTTGTAGCTTCCCTGGACTCTTAGATACAAGCCAATTTCTGGGACTCACTAGCTTTCTCAATTCCTCAAGTTCTCCTATTCTTGCCTCAGAGTGGGGTGAAAATTAACTGTTTGTATTGTGAGTTACACATGGGATGCCAGCAGAAGATCACACCCATTGATACAGTAACATGCCAGACAGTAAGGACTAAAGCCAAGAAACACCTGCTCCTGAGTGTCCCTCAGGACATTGTCAGCATAAGACAGAAGCCAGGTGAACTAGAGAAGGAGAGGAAATTAAAACTATTGGTCCCAGAGGTATTAGTAACCGTGAGGTTCAAGTGAGGGGAGCTCTTGCAACAACACAGAAAGTTTTGTTGAAGTATGCACAGGACAGGGAAGAACTGTTTGTGTGGCTCAGTAGTAAGGAAGGCTGCAGGATGGTTCCACATTATACAATTTTAAAATCTGCTTTGAAGACAAACCTAATGAGTATCCAGTTATTGGGAAAAAAAAAAACAACAAAACCCTCAGCTGACAGTCCTACAGAATAGTGAAACACAAATCCATAGCAACTGAGGCTTCTATACTTGACTCACAAGAACACAAACTGAGCACAGGCAGAGCCTCCTGTGGTCCAAAATGCAGGGTTTGGTTGTTCAATTGCTGCCCTTCCCTACCACCCCCACATCTTGATTTGACTAAGATAATAAAATAAGCAATGATAAGGATGAAATCTTGTTGGGCAGCTCCTTGACCATTACCAAGTTGAAAGCATTTTCCTGTTCAGTCAAGTGTTTTCCCACACTATGTTAGTTGCTTTATTGTGTCAAATCACAACAAAAGCAATGAAAACACAAAATAAAAATCCCTGTTTAACCACCCAACATGTGTTCATGAGCCTTGAGCTTCAGGCGAGTTACCCTACCAGGTGATAAATGAAGTATTTTGTCCTCTTCAGTTAAGCAAATATTAGGAAGAAAAAGGTCTTTAGAAATTGCAAGGATATATCTAAATTAAAACATTAAGGCAAAACTTGGAGAGAGAATGTTTCCTTATTGGTTGGACATATTTTTCAAAAATAGTGTCTGAAGCACAGCTAGGGAGTTAGGAACTTAGTAAATTTTGTTCAAAATAGATTCTTATCGCAAAAGCTGATAAAATTGTACAGTTTAATACTCCCATTAAAAGCAATTTTTCAGTTGCTTAAAATGTCACTAAGGCAGAGCAAATTATAATCTGGTGCTTCCTGCAAATGCGTTAACACAGTTCATTAAATCAGTCATTCTTCTTGACAGCTTTTCAATACACTTCTGGGATGTGACTCTCTAAATGTTCTCAGTGGATGATACACAGGATCATTTGGTAGGGTAGGGATCACTCCTACCCATTCCAACCCAAAAGTAGGACTGAACCTTGTCCTTTGTTCTGTATCTTAAATTCCCTTACAGTTCATTCCAAGTTAATCACCCGATTTCTTTCCTTCTCAAAGGCCATGGTACCACTCTTTGAATTTGCTGTTGTAATCTTACCTTTGAAGAAACAAAGCAATTTAAAACAATTTATGTACCATTGTAGAATTTATGTACTATTGCAGAGATGTGAAAAACCCTGGCAAGACAAAGCAGCTGACACCTCTCTAAAATATGCTCCTTGAAAGCTTTTTACTGGGACACACCTAAAATAACTTCCAGTTTCCCAGGCTGGGCTGAATCTGGTGAGGTGCTTTTCATGTGGGTTTAGAGGGTTTCACATGGCCAGTGCTTGGAAAAGCATAGAGAATCAATCATTCCATGAGATGACATCTATTCTAGGTACTTAAAATAACAACAAAGGAAAGTAGGACTCTATCTTTCCAAGGGTACATCCCATTTTTGTCTTCAGTGATCCTATCTAAAAATTCTAACACATTGTTCCAGACAGAATACAGAAGTGAAACGAATGTCCAATTAGATGTCAAGAATAACAAGCTGACATTTATTCTCTACCCAAGAAATTACTTTTTCACCTTCCATCAGGCTTCAAAAATATAATCAAATCATTTTTCTGGCTGGGCTTAGTAAAATCCTATCCTTTCAGTAATTTAGGCTCTCTATGCCTCTTAACATTTACATATGCCTCCAATTCTGTGCTAAATCATTTGTCCCCTATTCTTTCTGCACTTAGTGAAGTTAAACTATTTTGTTAATATTTTAGAATGTACTTTATTTACAAATCTCATCTTTGGTATTTTATTATTGTTATATAGAAACATTTCAGATTATAAAAAGAAAAAAAAGGAAAAACAGAAGACAACTTCTTACTTTGATTTTTTTCCCTCTGCCAAAGTAGTTAACTCCTCTGTTTAATTTTTCCCCTCCTCCAGAAACATAAGTGCTGATCACATAACATCTTCAGCATTTGTTATTGATACTAAGTGTATACTGTAGCAGTGGCTGTTGCTATCAATTCTTTGCTGCCATGTTAGTGAGATAAGGTAAGACAGGTCATTAAGGCTATACAGTTTCCCAAGCACATTTTGATTTAGTGGGGCCAGACCGTGTCTATCAAAGTGTTTCTGTTGAAAAACCCTGCATTAAATCCTGGATCCTTCATCCCTCCCTGGAGGACTTAGTGCTTGCAGACAGCAGGTCTGTGCAAACTTGGAGGATCCCGACTGAAATGGGTCAAGGGATGCAGTGCAAGAGCTTCAGCAGCAGAGGAGAAAACGCTGACAGCCCAGCATGGTAACACCTTCCCTCACACAGCTGCCTCTAGAAAACAATAGCCCTGCTCATCTTAGCCTAAAAAGTTGAAGGCACTGCTACATTCCCCTTCTTAAGCCATTCAATACTGTACACATGGCAGGAAGGTTACATGAGTATGCAATGCAATAAACAATCAGATCAGAAATTTTTCTTGTTCTTTTGTTCTTTCTTATTATCCCCTCTTTTGTCCTTCCTTGCCTGAGAGAGCTTATCTCCTTAAACTGTTTTTTCATTTGTCTGTCATATCTCTCCTCTCCTCTTCTCTCCTCCTTTTCTTTTTTTTCTAGAGGTATTACTGAAACCTTGATTTTTATTCCCAGCATGTACTGTTTAGCAACTAACACTTGTCTAATTTCTAGCAAATATGTTGCAGCTGCACTTCTCTTTTCTGCCTTTTCTTGTCTTTGTGAAGATAAATCATCATCACTCTGTGGCAGTAAAACAGAGAGGTAACTATTTCCATATTTGGCCATTTCTTACCATTGTCAAAATAAATACATTCATCTGTGCAACTTAAATATGAAATGATGTCTTCCCTTTTTTGAAACCAGTAAATACTAACAACAGCAAGCTGGCATCTGAAAAGAAAATGAACAATTAAGATGACATTTATGCTTAAAATTCTGTATCACTCAAAATGAGAGCTCCCAACTCTGAAAACTCCATCTGTACTTTTATATTGAAGGTTACAAGGTTATGATAAAAGAGACTGTGACAATCATGTTACTGAGTTGCTGAGGTAGATAGTATTAAATAAAATCTTAGCACCTAAAAAGTGCCAAATGCAGAAGTAAAGCAAAAAAAGCCTTAACAGTTGCTACCATGGGCTGCCCATTGAAAGTGTATTAGAAGAGTTGTGACTGTTTCTGTATTAAAATTTACTGAAAGGACTGTCTTGAGGTCTAAGTGTATCGAGGAAGAAACACTTGGAGTGAGGAGATCTGTTTTCACCACGGAGAACTTCAGGACAGCAATGAAACAAAGCATGTTAGAAGCTTGCAGCTTAACAGTGAGGACCATAAGGAAGCTCTCCTCAGACCACTGGGGCTGGCATAAATAAAAGCAGTAATAACGAAATAATAACATAGGAAAGAATGCTGTGCACTGTTCTGAGTACATGATTCGTGATACCTGCTGCTAAAAGTGCTTTGTACTCAGACTTTTACACCATTACAGCAAATAGGGTTCTGCAGAGCTTCTGCATGAAGATCTGTTTAAATGTCCTCCATTTTAAGCACCTCAAAGAAAGGTTTCTTTTGCTTGTATATTGCCAAACACAAAGGCTGCTTAATCTTCTTTGGTATCTCTGAACACTGCTGCAGTAGGACTGTTCAGAAATAACTGATACATGCTTCTGGATCGCTCTTTTCATTCATTAAGACAAATCAAGTTACATCAAACACTGAGCCAAAGAAAACCTGGAATAATATCTCAAGCTGCTCCATTTTCACACACATCGAAGAAAAACCTTGGCAATACCATTCAGGTTGTGCTCTTTCTTCAAATGGCTGGCAGAGAAGCAGTATTGGCTGATGTGATGTAACAGGCAAGCAACTTACAGATGCAGATGGACTCAAAGAGAGCTTCTTTACTGGCATATCTTGATCTAATATTGTCGAGAAAAAAATGCTGCCATAGATGTGGCATGAACAACAATGGTTTACCAGCTGGGGGGTTTTACCCCTTTCAGAGTGATGTGGAACTTTCCTGCCATACAGATGTGGGAGCTGTTTTCTACTGACCCTCAAAACTGCTTCAACTCCTAGTCCAGTGTCTGCAACCCACAAGTAGCTTCTCTGCTACCACCATCCCAGGTATTTGTAACTCATCAGGCAAGATGTCCAGAAACATGCCAAGAAGGCGCTGTTGTTTCTCAGCCATACTTTGTTAACCAAGTGATCTCTTTGGTAGAAATGAGCCCCAGGTCCCCACAAGCCCTGTGGACTCACCTGGCACAAGCTGCATCAAACCCTCCAAGGGTTCAGGGTTTGGCAGCAGCCTTGGCCTTGGTTAGAAGCCTTTTTGCCATATCAAGAATTCACAGACTTCCCCTGGTGAGCATTTAGCCCAATTTGAAGACAGAAAAAGGGAAGGACCACCTGGTCTGGCCTCCTGAAGTTGGACAGGAATTGCAGACCTGCTGTCTTCAGCAGCTGCTGTAAGTCACCAAAAAGCACCTATTGAGAACTTCCATTTGTATTTTACATATTGTGTGCTATTTATCAGCGGTAGAACAATATTAGTACTTTTTGTGGCAGTGCTACACAGTGAACTTTTATCTGAATATCAGTCTGTGAGAGTTCCTCTGTCCTCTTCGGTGTCAGGCGATATCTTTGACATGACAGCTCGGGGCTTTGTAGGAAAGAGAGTAACTATGAAACCATAAATAGAAAAGATTGGATTTGATTTTTATTGGCAACGTTAAGACAGAGCCGAATCTGTTTCACAGGGGATAACACGCCACTGGAGCAAGGCTACCGCTCCACCTGGTGGGCACCCGGCGGCTCCGAGGGGCGCGGCGAGCCTCGGCCGGCGCCGCTGCGGCCACGGAGAGCGGCAGAGCCGCTCGGGGATGCCCTGCCTCGGGGGATGCCCCTCAGAGCCAGCCCGGGGTGCGTTGCCTGGGAACGAACCACGATCCTGGGGGATCGCCTTCAGAGCCCCCGCCTGAGACCCGAGCCATCACCGCCCGGCCCTTCCCAGGCCACCGCAGCGTGGCGGCGAGGCAGCCAGGGCCCCGCGGAGCACGGCCCCGCTGCGGGACGACGGGAGCCGCCGGCCCGGACGGGCGGGACTACAGGGCCCAGGCTGCCGCGGGCGGGGGGGCGGTGCCGCCGCCGTGCGCCGCCGCCGTGCCCGGGCTGGGCCCGCCCGCCGCGCCGGGAGCATGGCCGGCTTCGCCGACCTGAACCTGCCGCAGGGAGCGGACAAGAAGTCCCTGCAGAGCCTGCTGGAGGCCGCGGCGCACCGTGAGTCCTGCGAGTGGGGCGGGCGGCGGGGCCGGCTCGGAGCTCGGTGGGGCCGAGCTGGGGAGCGCGGCCGGCCCCGGCCAGGATGGCAGCGGGACGCGAGCGGCGGCTCCCCTGGCTCGGCAGGCACTGCCGGACTCCCCGGGATGAGCCTTCCCTTCCCTCCGTTTCCCTCGGCGCCGCTCCGCTCAGCCCGCGGCTCTCTGCCAGCCCAGTGCCCAGGGCACTAGGGCCGCAGGGGAAGCTCCTGCTGCGCCTTGCAGCTCTCTCTCTGCCTGCTTGTCCCAGTGCCACAGTTGGTTTTGTCCCTACGTGCACAAGTTTTTCCGCCTGCAGTTTGGTAGGGCCCGGCTCTTTTCCTGCGGAGCTGTTGCACAGCCACGTGCTGCCCGTGCGGTGTTTGGGGCGGGAGGTTTGAATGCCCCTGCCAAGTCTGTCATCCTCCCCAGAGCCTGGGAACCAGACCTTCTCCTCCGTTCAGTCGGCATCGTTTGGAATTACTGCTTTGCCTTCTCCGACAGCTGCATCTCTGCCGGCTCTGCGTTATCTGCAGTTTTAACAACTGTCCTGATTACAGCAGTTTTCCATAAAGAAAGTCATAACCGGGGCCAAGCTAGGCCAGACCTTTGGGGACACCAAATCCATGTGTTTGTGTTCATAAAGCTCTGCAATTGAGTGAGAGTTGTCAGGCCAGGGCTATGTTAAAAGCCAAACAGATTTTTTTTTTTTCTATTTCAAAGCACTTTTTTGGGTGAACCGATCGTCTTAAAAAATACTGTGAAATCTAAACTTGCACGTGATTATTAACTTTAGGACATTTAAGTAATGAGTATTTTACAGTTTTCTCATTGGAATTGTTTTTTACTATATTTTAACCAAATTTTTACTGTGTGTTTTTCAGTGGGATATTCTGTAGTTGCACTTAATCATGTCATTGACTTTAAAGAAAAGAAACAGGTAATTTTTCTTGGGATTATTTGTTCTTACTGTGTTTTCTTTAGTAAATCTGCTGCCTTATTGCATGTTTCCAGATAACTTTAGCTGCAGAGTGCACATCTAGACACAAGCACAAATCTCTTTATTTGTAACAAAACTCCCATTTTATATTTCAGGAGAACTGCCTTTGGATTAATTTTTAATATGGTTCATGTATTGTCTCACAAAAATAGTTTCCTTAGTGTAGTAAATTTATTCTTAAGATTAGAACATAGTTTTTGTTTACATGTAAACATAATCCATGACATTTTTAATAACTTTGTTCTGTTCTCTTTCAAGGAAATCATGAAGCCAGTATCCCCTTCAGAGTTGTTTCCATCTTTACCTATTGTACAAGTATGTCTAGTTACATTCTATAGATATACTGTTATTCTGAGTTACCCTTTTTTATCTTTGTATGTTTGTATATGTGATTTTGTGTATGAGGTGTTCATCAAAAAAGAAAAATTTGTCCATTATTTCATGGTTCAAACTCCAAGCATTGGAAGAATAGTAAACTTGCATCAGAGTAGGCTCTATTCATTATTTTTGAAATTATTAAAGAAGTTGCTTTGTGTGAATTTTGAATCTGCTTGTAGTTGAATAATTACAGTACAGTTCTTGAAATTTAAGTTTTGAAAATAATTTTGTGGTTTTGATGGAGCAAAATTTGAATATAAAGAAGTACAATAATGTGTTTTGGGTCACTGACATTGATTAATTCAAGAACTGCTTTTCCTTGGAGTTGTGGCCTGCATGGGGAATCACAGCAAAACATACTCAATTTTTCTGCATGGTTGTTTTTCTTTTTTTTTTTGCTTTCTATTCATCTTTCCCCAGAGAGACACAGTAAATCATTTTTTGTAAGAACAGGTATAATATCAAAGAGATAATGTAAATTAGGGAAGTGTAATTCAGACTTAAGAAAATGAGTATAGCAAGACTATAAGCATGACACCATTTTCTTTTTATAGCAGACTGGGTGGAAATTACCACAAATTTTTCCTTTGGGTTATTAATTTTTTTTATATTATTCTTTTTTCTGTAGGGGACATCTAAAAGAATTAAAGTCTTGACCAGGCTAACACTTGTTGTTTCTGATCCTTCCCACTGTAATCTCTTGGTAAGTATACTCAACAAGGAATTTTGAAACTTTTATTTCCTTTTCTTAATGAATGAATGAAACTTTGGAAATTCTATGGGGACAAGATCCTGGAATTTATAGGGCACTCAGCTGTGGTTTCTGAGATTGCATCTCTAACAAGTAATGTGATCATGAGGAGATGCAGACTTACAAGAGCATATATGGCTTCTGTTGATCATTTGTGATCATTAGGGAACAACAGTTCTGTTCCTTGGTTTCTGGACTTCTGTGCATGAACTAGAAGACCAAGAGCAACCCTTGCATCTGGTTATGTTTTTGTGCTACAAGATCAAAGCAAAAAGTGTCTTAGTAAATTGGTGGGACAAGCCTCCAATTGAGAATGAATGACTTCATTGTAGAAACCTGCTGTGTAATTGGATGATTATTGGCTTTGTTTTAGTACTTGACAGGGGAAAAAGGTTTTTTTTTCTTATTGTTTTGGTTGTAATCATTGTGCATGGCTTTGTCATCTATCAGAATTCAAAGTAGTAATTGTTTGCTCCTTTTATAGAGATCAACATCTGCAAACATAAGGTTATATGACATCATAGCAGTATTTCCAAAAACTGAGAAACTGTTCCATGTAAGTACAATCATCTCATCAGTAATGCTCATTCAGTAGCCTTTAGTACCTTGTGCTAATTAAAGTACATGCTTTTGTTTTGATTTTATTTCCCATTTTATAAAGACCTCGTGGAGTTAATCAAACAATCCAGGCTGCCAGGGCAGTTGATGGGCTGTGGGGTTTGGGAGGATTTGCAGGAGGCTGCAGGACCCTGAGGTGACAGGTTAAAGTCTGAAACATTTTCCTTGTCTACCTGATGAAAGGGCTTGGATGCCCTGCACTGTGGTTGCCTTTATGTGCCTTGTACTATAGTGAGGAGAGAAAACATCCTTTTTTTTCCTCCAATATATTTATACTATCATGTAGAAAACTTCTGTCTTCAGCTTTAGCTTCTCAAACTCTTGACAACTTCCCATCACAATGCACTTGTGATCTTCTGTTAGAACTAGTTACTCCTGATCACAAAAATGCTAGGGAGGATTTTAAAGTGGAACTAATGCGGTTCTGTGAGTTACCTGATGGCTGTTCACCTCCATTTCCTTCATATTTTATTTAAATTGTTCTCAAATACTTGATAACAGCTGTTGATGTTCTGATTGGGTGGAGCACCTTGAAAAAAGTAATGTTTTTGTCACAATTTTTCTTACAAAACCCAAAATTTGATGTCCATCCTGTAGTAAGCTTGTAAATATTAAGTCTGAATTGGTGAGTAGGTGGAAGTGTTCCATCTCTGTTAGCCTTGGCAGGCAGGCATGCAGTTTAAAGCAGTGTGAAGGAGGGACAGGGACAGCAAAAAAAGAAGTGAGTTTCTTTGAAGAATTTACTTTCAAAGGGAGCTTCTCAGTTTAAAACTGAGTCTGGTGGTTTTTTTTAAATAAGTTAAAGCCACTTTCTAGTACTGCTGAGTACCTGTTTTGCCACATTAAAATTGTATTATTCTGTTTTGTTTTTCTACAATATTTCTCCTCCTATTTCAAGTCTTGTCCAAGTAAACTACAAAGCAGGAGGCTGTCAAAGAATATGAACTTCAGAGATTTTTTCAGCAGAATTCAAACATTAATTATAAGAGTTACAGCAAAATGAAACAAATTTCTGAATTTTATTTCCCTTGAAAGATTTTAGGACTCTTCAGGGTGTGACAGAGGCAAATGGTTTAAAATATTTTTTGCTGGCCACTCTCCACCTCTTTCTTTTGATCTCTGGTAATAGTGTAAAATCTCATTTCTCCAGTGAGCTCAATCAGTTTATCATGTGCTTAAACAAGCACCTGAAAATAGGTGATCAGCTGGGGTGTGCTGTGTTGTTTTTTGGGAAAAGGGTATTCTCTCACTTAAGGGTTATTAGTGTTTATTTTCAGCCATATCACTCCTCCTGCTGCAGTTGCACATCCAGCTGTGGCCGTGTTTAAGCAGCCACTCATTTCTGCAGGTCCCTGTCTGCTTTGCTTCTGAGCTGCTTGCTTGCTCAGCTGCATGGCAGTTTGCTTGGGGGAGCCTGCTTTTGGCTGAGCAGTAACCAGAGGTTTTGCCAAGTTCTTTTCCAGGCAGATGCCCTTTCCCAGAGTGATTCAGCAGGCAGGCAGGCACGCAGAGTTGTGCCAGTGCAGAGCGGTGCTGTGCTCCGGCAGGCCAGCGCACACAGTGCTTGGCTAAGCTGACACTCTGGCAGGTGATGGACAGGCTGTGAGGAAAGAAGCAGGATTTTCAGTGAGATTATCTCCATTGCTTCCATGCTAGCAGCACTTTGAGCTGGGGAGGGAACCCAGGCGTGTTTCCTGCAAAGTGCATGAGGTGAAAGACTTCATTCATCCTTCACGTTCAAGGCAGGTTTGTATGGCTGCCTTTTGTTTAGAGATTTTAGAATGTCTCGCTGTGGAGAGCTGATTCAGTTTCACAGAGGTATCACACAGGTGAAAGGGACTTTACACAGCTGGTTTCAGCACATACAGTTGGCCTCTTACAACTCATGGATATTTCTTTATTAAGAATAAAGCCTTCAAGAGTGGGTCTTGCATGGCAAATTAACTTCCTATTGGCTTTTGGTAACTCAGCATGAGCTCAAGAGCATCATCTTTCTCACCAACAATTTGGCACTTATATTTTCTCTATAGAACAAGATTTTTCATGTTTTTGTGAAAAAATTACATGACCATTGGAGGTGTACTCCAATTTTAGCATGGCCAAAAACTAGTCTGTGCCCTTTTGTCACAAGCCAGGGAAGCTCTTTTGTGGCTGAGTGTGGCAGTGATATGTACTGAAAGATGTGCTCAAATTCTTCAAATAATTTATATCCTTAAGGGGATGAGGAAGCCACATTTGTGAATTGTAGAATGGGCTCCTTGTTTAAATTTCCCAAAAAGATTGTTTTGGCCTGCAGCAGGAATGCCCACTCCATGCAGGTAGAGTACTTGCTGCTTTTTGCTTTCTAAGATTTCTGATTGTTTTAATGATTGTTTTAGTTAGCTCTGTCTGCTGTTTGTAAGCACTTAGCACATCACTAGTATCTAAAAAAAACCTACCTATGTACGCCTGAAGATGTAGTGCAAAGTCAGATTTCAATGTTTATTCCTAAAAGTTTGCCAGAGCTTGCTCCAGAGCGCCCAGGCAGTGGCAGATGTATTTATTAACGGCTGCTGGGTTCTCCCAGCAGATGGGGCTCTTGCCCACGGTGCTGCCAGGCAGTTGCTGGGCTGTGCAACTTGCTGCACGTCATTTTCTGGATGAAGTCGTTGCACTTCAGCTCTTTTCAGCAGCCAGGGTAGCCTTAGCTTGACTGCATATTTGATTTGTTTGGGAGCCAGAGCTAGGCTGAACATTAGAGTTCTTGGAGAAATCTGCTCTCCAGTTTTTCATACAGTGCAGGAATTCCTCATATGTGAGGAATATGACTCGGAGTTTGTTTTTCCTTGGTTTCCATATTTTGTGACATGTTCATGTCACTGGAATCCTGTAGATATCCTGGCTTTTGAGTCACTCCCTGTCCCACTGTGCTAAATTTGCAAAATGGTAAAGAGTTTTCCAGTGTTTCTGGAGCTCATTAGGAAGGCTTGATTTCTCATCAAATAGGACAACTTGCATGTGTCAGATGTCTATTCTCACTTCCCTTAATTTTTGCCATAATCTCTTCTTGAATTTTTTATGACCTCACTGACATATTTCCTAGGGCATGATTCAGAGCTATTTGTTCTGTGCATGTTCCCATAAATCACCTCTGTGTAGTAGTTTGTACCTCATGTAAGAAAAGGAGGGAAGCTGACTGTAGTAGGGCTGAACTTCCTCTTGCAAATCTAATTCTATGCCATAGATTCCACAGGCAGCCCATGTCCTGCCTATTGGAGGATAAAGATAAAGGTAGGGCATGAAGAAAAAGTTTAGTCTGAATGTTCTGGCAGAGACATTTCAACTTCAAAAATGTTGTGGTTTGCCTGCATGTGTACTGTGGCTGTCTTGTCTAGGAGAGAGTGCTATCAACAGCTAAGAAACATTCCTAAAGCTGGGCCTCTGCTCTCATCTCCATCCAAATTCCATGTGAACAAACTGGTAGAAGACCAGTTTGCCAAGCAGCAGTGTGCCTTGTGTTAGAGCAGCCCTTCCCCTGGGGCTCCTCACAGCCCCCACTGCTTTTGTGCCAGTGGGAGGAGGGATGAATGGTTGGCACCTGGCCCAGGTGTATTTGGAGCAGTTGCTGCCAGGTTTCTGAGTGCAGAAAGTTCCCCTACCCACAGAAAATTCCTTTTCAACTTCTCCATCCTGTCTTACCTTCTTTGTTACAACACTGCTTACAGATGTTAGTCTGGCCCTGTGCAATCATCCTTTCAGAGTAGGCATACACAATTCCTACCTTGGGTGCATGAGATTAATCAAGGACTCCTTTTTAGGTCCCCTTAATTTTTCCTGTATCTCAGTGTGAGGAGCCTCTGCCCCTTGTTCCTTTCCTCTGTCTCTTAATACAACCTGTAAATTGTGGTGTGAATTCAAAGCTAAATTCTTAAACTGCAGCCTTCAGTGCTGTCTCCAGACTCTGCCAGAGGTGTGGCTGTCAGGAGGAGCTGCACTTAGCCAGGAAAGGGAGTGCTTTTTCATGCTTTTCTCTATTCTCTCTTTTCTCTATTTTACCATGCTGGTAAAAGTAATTAATCCTGAAAACAAACAGGTGCTGCACTGGAAGCAGAGCAGGATGGGACAAGGGGCAGTTCCTGGGCTCTTCCCTTTCTAAACTGGGGTTGGTCTTCATTATCTGTGAGTTGTTTTGTCAAAAGCCAACATTGCTTCTGCATGTCCTCTGTCAGATAAAAACAAAGTAAGTACTGCTTTGGGGTTGACCATTATTTTATTGTAAAATTAGTTCTGTAAGAAAGGGAAGACTTGGGTTTTAAGTCGCAAATGCTGCTGTTGTATTGGCATATCTGCAATGCCTAGTACTTCTTAATTTTAAAATTGATCTCACCCTGGAGAGGCATTTGTTGCATTAAGAAATGAAGGAGAATATTAGTGCACCTTAAGTTGGTTATGTATTTTTTGGCATATCTAATAATCTGTTCCTATTTCTTTGCTGCAGATTGCTTGCACAACACTAGATGTGGATCTGGTCTGCATAAATGTAACAGAAAAGCTGCCATTCTACTTCCGAAGGCCCCCTGTGAATATGGTAAATTTACATCTAAATTGTATTCTTGCTGTTAGACTGACATTAAATACAAAATCTGAGTCGAATTCCCTACTGCTTTCCACCCACCATTCCTATCCAAGTGGTTCTTTTATTTTCTTGCATAATGTATAGTTTTGTTTCAAATGTCCTTCACTTCAGGGCCTCCACTGCAGCACTTAATACACATTGCTGTATGTTCTTTCTTTTTCTCCTCCTGTCCCCCACTTAAGAAGGCAGAAGTGGTGTTCCCAAGGAGTGGAAACAGAGCCTTCAGGCCACTGTGCTGCTAAGCAGGGAGATATGGTGTGAGTGCTGACAAAGCTGCTTCCCAAACCAGAAATGGTACAGCTGTGTCAAAACAGATAAACAGCTCTTTGATTTAAAAGACAGGAAATGTGAATGACAGTGTTAATTTAGGAGAAGGATGTTATGCTGGTTACTTGAAAGACAACTGTATTGAATCCATACTTGGACAAAAGAATGTCTTGGTAAATGAACCCAATGTAGCATTGCTAAATATATGCTGTGGGACCCAAGATGGCTATCAGTGTGGATCAAATATAGTTCTGCCTGCTGTTGGTAGTTTGCCAGAAAACCTAATCTGGATGTGCTCTTATGGGAACTTGTTTTCTCCTCTGAGTATATGTAAAGGTTCATTCCACATGGGCATTCTTGGCTGATGTAGAACTTAGTTCTTAAAATTTTAAATTTGGAATTGGCTAGTAATCCTACTTCCTTTTCTTCTAAAGTTTGACCTAGAATAAAAATTCAAATTTAACTAGAATTAATTCTGAGACAGAATAGGAATAATACATTGTCATTTATGGTAAACTGAGGATTTCAACATTCCACTTGGAATAACAATTTTGTATGAAACATTGTATGAAAGTACCCTAGCTGTCTAAAAGTGCAGCAGGTGGCCCAGGTAAGAAGCTGTGGGGCTCTTAGAGCCCTGTGTTGGGAGACATTTTCCTTGCAAGCTACCTCTCATCTTCCACCCTCCCAGCCTCAAGGCAGTCTGTCTGTTGGACTGGTCTGTGCATCCTGGGGCAGGCAGTTTTGGTTGTTACAGTGCCAGACAGATTGGCAGGCAGCTGAAGTGGTAGGGATGAGGTTAAAAACCACCTTGACTGGAAATTGGTGTATTGCCATCACCTGTTTGGTTTTGATAAATTCAGGCTTCTCTTGTTTGCAGTTATCAGGCCAGATCTATGTAAAACATTTGATGCATGTATAGCTTCTGTTGTGCTGCATAGAGAGGTCATGCATGGGAGGGAGCTGGATTAATTCCAGCTGTATTCAGTTACTGGACTCTCTTACAGTATTACCATTGTAGCCTATTTTAATAATATTTGTGTAAGAGCAGAGTATCATTTCAGGCAAATGTAGGATTGTCATGGAAAAAAGAACTCCTGGCCTTACAATGTGTCTTTATTGCTAGCACACTGTGTGCAAGTTGCTTAACCTTTCTGTGTTTGCAAAAACAAGAATACTGGGCTTTTGGTGAGGCACTGTGACAGCAAAGGATGTCAAAGCAGCTGAAAACATAACCAGTGTTACTATTTGAAACCTCTTCTGTGACTCAATGTTTTCTAACATTGTCACAAACACCAGAGTATGCTGTGAGACAGGAGAAGGGTCCTCGTTGCTGCTTTTGTGCAAGGAGGAATTCTTCATCTGCAATGCGTGGCTGCTGAGGGAAGTGATGATCTTTCTTACAGTGGGGTGTGGGACTAGAGGACTTGGGCCCTCAAAGTTTCAAGACAGCAGATTACCAGCAATGGTTATCTGTCTCCTTGACTCTGATTGTGTGTATATATTAGTGATAGCCAATTACAGCAAATAAGTGGTTGGTACTTGTTTGTTAAACCTCATTTATCTGTCCAAGATTTATGCACACGTATCTGGTGTACAGTGAAGCCTTCCCCCACTCTCCTTTCATGCTATGCTGTGCTCTTACTGGAACAATTTTTTTTTTTTTTGTATGTGACACAGTTAAAGTGAGAGTAAGCTGCATCAATAGCAGACAGCAGTTGTTAGATTGTTAGGCTTCTCTCCTTTTGATTTTTGATCACTCTCTTTCATGTGAAGGCAATAGATCGAGGCATCTACTTTGAACTTCTTTACACACCTGCCATCAAAGACTCTACTATGAGAAGATACACAATTTCAAATGCCATCAGCCTGATGCAGATCTGCAAAGGAAAGGTAAGCTCTCAAGTGAAAACAAGGTAATTAAATCAGTTCAAGTTTTTCTGGAGTTGTACAGACTGAGCCATTTTAAATGAATTTGATGCTGGGACATCTGAAGCTGTGACTAAATTTTGGCCTACTAACACAAGGACACAATCATTGTAGCTCCAGATACTTCCAATCTTGCACCACTGCATGCTTTCTTCTTAAGCTGTCAGGCTGTTAGATTCTTTTTCCAGAACAACCCATGTGTTGTTATGGTATGCAATTCCCAAAAACAAAAGTGGGAGGGGATGGAGGGAGATTAAAGTGCCAGACATCTAAGGTTTGCACTAGAACTGAAATTCATTTATTTCTTTAAAATCTTCCACTTCATATTTCTCATTAACCAAAAGCTCTTTTGACTGCCTAATTTGAATATGGGGGCTAAAAACCAATTTTTTAAAAAAGTAGAAATCTTGTTTTGTTAACAAGTAAATTCTCTGTGTCCAAAATAGACCACACAGCTAGCTGGCTGTCAGCCAAGGCTTTGCTGCAGTCAGATGAGCTGCATTCTTCCATGCTACTGAAACCCAAGGAAGAAGTAACTTTGAGATGCCTGTAACACATTGCTTTCATAACTTACCTCCTCCCAGGCTACCAGGTTAAGCTGTTTTATGCTGTGTCCTCTCATGCCATGTTTTTTAATAGGGGGTCATATCAAATTTAACAGAAATTGTAGCTCCCTCTTCTGTATTGCAAATGGCCTCTGCCACATGTAGCTAGTCAGAGAAGCTGGATTTGGAAAATCTCAAGTGGGATGTAGAGCTTGGAAGGTAAATTAAAAGTAGATCCTTCATTACCTCAGTTCTCCTCAAGCATGGCAGCTTTTATAGAACAGTAGGGTGGGTCAAACAGATTAATTTCCTTGGTGCTACAGAAGAGGTGAGTGTTTGCACAGCCTGTCCTGAGAAGCCCAGCTCTAGCAGGTGATGACATGAAGTACTGACTTGGACATGACTTCTATACACACCAGACCACTTTCCTTTGGAATTCCCTTTTTGATATTGTTCCTCTTTCCTCTGTGCAGTTCAGGATGTGCTTCTCATGTGCTCATTGATGAACTGGAGAGCACCAGCTGTGTTGGTATCATGGATAGGGCAAGCGAGATGTTCAGTCTATGCACGGTGCCCTTTCACTCTGCATCTGTCAGTCAGGGGTTTCATCTGTGGCTGGAAGGTAAATCAGCTGGAGCTGCACAGGACAAGTTGTTGTCAGGCACTGGAGGAGGACTGCTAGCTTGTCTTTGTTCTTTGCCTCCAGACTCAGTAGGCTGTGGACCAACTCTCCCTTACTGAGAGTTTGCTCTGTCAGTGAGGTAGAGGCCCTTGTTTCAATGAAACATGGGATGGCTGGTCCATAGGCTGCTTCTGTTCTGTAACGTGTAGTTGCTCAACCCATAGTAGCTTTTGGATACTTTTATTCCTCCTCTATTATAGCAGGGCAGAGAAACCTTCAGAAATTTACTTGTGATCTCAGAGCTGGCATTGAGCAGTGTCTTTAAAATATTAAAATGTGCAGGGAATGAAGGAGAAACTCCCCTGCCTTGCCAGACAGAAGGTGTGTATAGCCACAGTCCCTCACCTCCTGTGTTTTGGTAACTGAGTTGGAGGCTGCCTGGAGCAATGTACTGAACAGCTGCTGTCTGCTTTACCTGGGGAGATAGTGTTTTGCCTTTTAGGTTTGCCTTTAGCTCTTGCCTTGGATTTGCCTTTGCCTGCTGCTCTTCACTTGCCAGCAGTGCTTTTCTTACCTGCTCTTGTGTCCCTCCTCCATGTTACCCCTCCCCTAGTGAAAGCCTTTGAACCAGGCAGGGCGTATCTCCAGTGCACAGCAGTGATCCACAGCACTGTATCTCCAGTGCACAGCAGTGATCCACAGTCCTGTGCTGCCTTCAGATGGCTCATACAGCTGCTCTGGGATCTCCTCTGAGCCTGGGTGACAGGCATTAGTTGCTACAGTTTGCAGCAGGAAACTTGAATTTTCTCAGCAAGCTCTTGCAGTCAGCACCACTTATGCCCAAAAGCACCTTTGGGATCCATAGTGTAGTCGTTCTAAAGGTGAAGTATTCAGAAAAAACAATGTCCTAGGCTCTGTCAGGATGTGTGCTGTTAAGTCACTCTGATGTATATATTGCTTCTGCTTCTGGCTTTCCTTGTGGTGAGGCAGAGTCATCTGTCCCATGCTCTTCTCCTCAGCACATGAGGAAACCTTTGGCACACTGTGAACATGCAGTCAGTTTTACACTGGTCTTTCAGCTGTTGAGTTCTGGCTGCACACAGGACATTTTCTTGCAGTGCCTGCCCAGCTCTTTGTGCTGAGGAGGTGGCAGGGGAAGCAGAGCAGTGTGGGGAAAGCCCACCCTGAAACCAGAGATGAGTGATGTGTTGGTGGTACTGACATCAGAGAGGGAAAGTCTGTCTCTGCCTCAGCACAATTCTAATTCTCACCCACTCAAGCAGGAATTCCCAAAGCCTTTTTTATTCAGTATAATTAAAGGTGCAAGGAGATTTTGCTGCTGCAGAGTTAGCACCTGAGCTAAACAGGCCCCCCCTAGGTGAGCATCCTTGGAGCTCAGCATCAGAAGAGCTCTGGCAGCTGAGCTGTGGGATCTGCCAGCCCCAGTGTAGTCACATGCCTGTTTTGCAGAAACCTTTTGGGAGAGAAGGGAGAAGGATTTCTCTGCCTGGTGATTTTCACAGGGGTGCCAGTGTTAAGGGAGAGGAGTGTGTGGCACAAAGTGGCTGCCATTTCCTAAGTGTAGATACATTTCCTGAGCCAGTGTGGGTATGGTCAAGGCTAACATGAATGCTTAGCATTGAGTGGTACTGCCACAGCATAGCCTGAAAATCTGGGAGCACCAAACTGTCTCAAGGCACTATCTGTAAGCTGCTTCTGGGGGACCCTGGACTCCTACATCTATTTCTGTTACAGCTCAGGGTGAGTTGTTGTTTATGTGGGGCCTTTTTCAACTGGTGTAAATAAAGGGGACACTTCTTAACACAGTGCCTGCAGCTCTGCATTTTTTCTTTACCCTTAAGGGCACTTTGAAGTCTACTATGAGAGATACAGGCTGATAGGTGATTGCTTAATGCCATCACTCTGGACACTTACACTGCTTAGCCTGTCACTCTAAAATGAGATGTGCTTACTAATCTCTTATCTGGCTGTGAGAGGTTTGTAATGGCAAGGGAGGGCTTGTGTCTGTGCCTTGTCTGTGTAGGGGACAGGGCAATAACTGAGTTTATCATGTCCCCAAATTAAGATTCCCACCCTGACAGAGTTCATCTGAGGGCATCAGATACCCTGATGTTTAATTGGGCTCTGAGCCTGAACTTAGCTAATGCTCAAAAATTTTTTTGCATCTTGCTGATTTTTTTTCATTTCTTGGTGCTGTCTGACAGATGAATGTTTGTACTCTTTTGTTTTCCAGAACATAGTTATATCTAGTGCAGCTGAAAGGGTAAGTCCCAGATTTTTTTTAAAGTCAGAACAATTTGGAAATTTATCTGTGGCTGAAAATACAGCTTTAATTACACATTAAACATATAAAAATGTATGTTTAAATATGGTTGCCATTACCAAAGAATTGTATTGTGGGTTTTGGGACTTTTTTTTTGGTTAGTTGTTTTGTTTTGTTGGTTTTTGGGGGATTTTTTTTTTGCTGCTGCTGTGGTATTTTTCATGACAGTTTTGTCCCTGATGGACACTCTGCCAAAATAGTGGTATTTGCTTGATTTACTGTTATCTTCAGTAGCTTGCTATTATATAGCATTTAATCTTGCCTATCTGATAGCCTTGCCCTGCCTGCTCACACTGTCAGCCTAACAGCACAGGCATTCACATATCCAAACTTCTTTGTTTTGTTTTAGCCTCTGGAGCTCCGAGGTCCTTATGATGTGGCTAATCTGTATCCTTTCCCAAAGTCCAAGGCAGCAGTTAGTAGTAGCATTGGAAAGTTCAAAGTGGTTTTGAAATTCTTTTCATCCTTTACAGTCCTTGAACTTTATACAGTGGTGCTTGTTGGTGACCCTTTCAGTGAATCAGGGCTCTGAATGTGTGTGGAAGGAGCAACAGATCTTGGTCATGGGGTGGCATGAGAATCACTGTAACTAATAATGTTTGTGTTCAGCTCCAGGAATGTTTTGTTGTGATGTGCATTAATGTTGTGTGGGTGTAAATGGAGAAATTAATAAAACCCATAAAAATCTAAGGACGCTATGAACCATATGAGAAATTATTATTTAGTATCTCCAAAGTGTCACATTTTTGGTAGCAGAAGCTATAAAATTGGTTTTATGTAAAATTAGAAGTTCCTATCTGAGCAGTAACTACTTCTGTTCTGGATTTTCCAGTCCTTAGTTATACATGTAATGTTAAATAACATTGTTGTGTTCTAGAAACAAAGGAGAGTGTCTTGTCTTCCCTTCTTTTAGGAGTTCAGATGCATTTTTGTTACTCTCCCCACCCCTGAAGCACATATTTGGCCTGTCCCTGGAAGGGAAGGAGCTTGCTCTGAGTCATGAGAACCATGTGGGAGGCTGTGTGGCCTGGAAGGATTTTATGCACAATGTTTTTTCTTCCCTCTTAAAATGAGCAGTCAGGCTCAAGCCAAATTAACATAGCTAAGGTGGTGTCATCCTTGCTAAAGGTGGCTGGAAACTTCAGCATAATGCTTATGTATCAGACAGTGCCCTGTCCCCAAAGCTGAAATTTTCTGAGGGGTAATTTTTTTCTTGATTATGCATATCTAAAATGTTTCTGTGTTGACAGACTTTTATTTTCAAAAGTACAGCTTCTTGTCTGGAAAGAAGCAACATTGCCAGGAGCTTTCCAGGAGGGCTGCTGGGGAACTGCAGCCAGGAGGGTTGGGTGTCTCATTTCTGCTTCTGGGTAACCTTATGCAAAATGTCACTTTGAGTTACAGCTTTGCTAATTCCCAGTTATTTGTAGAGTAAGCAAGCCTGTTGTGCAGAGAGCCTTCCCTGTTGTGTGTGTTGCTTCCTGTGTGTTTGATCCTGAGCAGCAGTGACAGAGGTTTGCTGTTTGGCCTGTCAGAAGGTGAAGCAAAGGCAGCTGTGTCCACCAACTGCAGAGCCACCATGCTGCATGGAGGTGAGCACTTGGAAGCTCCTGTAAATAATGTGTATGTTTGTTAAACTGAGTTCTTGTGGATGCATATTCTCCAAAAGGTCTGAGACCTTACAGAGCAAGTCAGATCAGACAAAGAAGTAATCTTTGTCCAATACATGAAGAGGAGCTTGTGTGGCAAGGCTGTTTTATTTTCCCTCGTTGCCATGTTGGCAAATCAGTGGCTGAACTGGCGGTGCTGTCTGTGCTGGAGGACTCATGCAACCACATTAATGAGTCATAAAGGATTGAACCAAAATAGGAACCTGCTGCTGTGCTTCATAGTGAAACTACCCCATTTTGGAAAGGTTTGAATGCTGATCTTGGTGACACTCACAAAAACTCAGTGATTGACGTCATAAAATGGGTATGCATGTGTTTTGCATTTGCCTTTTTGCAGCATGTGTGCAGAAGCAGCTTAGTCATGTCCCTTTCTGATGCTTTAATAGGTGGATTATTTCTGATTCACTCTTCAGTGTGGAACATTTCAAACTCATGGCAAAATCAACAGGTTCTCCTCCGGCCTGCTGCTCATCTACATAGAAATACAGAGTTTATCAAATTTATGTGAGATTTCTCAAGCCTGTCATCTATCTTATCTGTGAAATTAAATAGCAACTGTCATTTCCCTTGTCCCAGAGAGGATACTAGCCCAGAATAAGTCAATATATTTTTCTCAAGGTTCTTGCAGAGCCTCTCTGCTAATAGAGTATTTGTAGGGAATAGGGAATCTCTTCTAACTCAGATTTTGCAGAGAAGCTTCCCACCAGTAATTACAAAATTGGATTGGGCTCAGTAGGTTATTTGACCAGTATTTCATTATAATGTTGAGAGTTTTGTAAATAAAATTCTTGAATACCATAAAATACTTCCTTGGTATGTAGGGGATCCTCTGCCAATACAATTGTGCCCACATAGTCTAAGAATCCTGGGGTATGTGAATGCATTTTTTAGTGTTTTTTTAAGAACAGTATGTTTGGCTCAGAAGTGCTTTTGACAGCGCTTCAAGAATGTGTCCTTCTGTGATTATTGAACTGACTAAGCCTGGTTTCCTCTGGTTTTGTGTCTCTGCAGCTCCTCAGCCCCTGCAGACCTTGGTGTTCCTTGGTTTGCTATAATTCTACACCCACCATTGTATTTGCCCCGGTATTTTCTCCACTCTGTAATGCAGTGAATCCCAAGCTCCTGCCCTTGCAGGTTGCTTCCCTGCTGTGTGTGCTGACTGGCTGCGTGCTCCTCATGTCCAGCTGTGGGTTGGGGCATGGACACCTGAACTGAGTATGCCTTAAATGCATTTTATTTCAGCATTTGAGGTGCTGGTACTGCAGCTTCTGCTTGTGTATTCCAGAAACTCGAAAGAGTGCCTGTGGCGTGGTGTACACAGTGAAGAAGCCTCGCAAGGTTGAGGAGGAAGAAACAGCAGTGCCAGCCTGCAAAAAAGCTAAGACTCAAGCTTGAGGACTGAACAAGTTGTCAACAGAAGCCTCCATCTTGTCTTTACCCAGTGTTGAGTCTTCCTCCAGCCAACCTAATTTTTCCCCTTACTACCTTGCTCAGCCGGCAGAAGAATTATTCTTCCAGCATTCAAGTGAGAAAAACTGTGTGAATGAGACTGCTGAATAGTATTCACCACATCTGAAAGGTCATGCTGGGCTTCTGGCCAAGGGCAGGAGACTGACTCTTCACCCTCCCTTAGGTGTCCTGGAGTTAATGCAAACTCAACAGAACATTTCTAACGTGGAAGTTTTTACTTGTACACGTGCATTCCTTTTTTATTAAAAACATGTCTAAGAACACATGCCTTCATAGTCTAGCTCCTCTGGTTTCTCAAGTTTTAAACACATCTCTGTACAGCTGCAAGCCTGTAGATGAAGTTTACTTTCAAGTGGCCTGTGAAGAAACTTTTCAATTAGCTCCTGAAGCACTGTATCTAATAAAGTGTCTTCTCCCCCAGTTTTCTGAAGCACATTGCTGTGGCCACTTGGGTGCCTGAATGATTGAACTGCTGCTGAGTTAGGTGATGAACGCACTGAGTTAGCCAGCACTGATGTCATTTCTGTTTCCTGCCAGGCTTGCTGCCAGTGTGCAGGTAATTGGGCAGAAACAAGCAGGGAAGTTGTGGCTTGCAGCAAAGGGCAGCAGGTGGAGGTGAGCTGTGATTTCTGTGGAGAAGGATGTGAGCACACATCAGGCCTGTGGCTGGCAGGGTGGCACTCGTGAGTTACGGTGCTTGTGTGAGAAAAGCACCTGTCTGAAGCTGCTGGCCTCAGTCTAGTAGAGCTGCCTGCAGACAGAATAGGTGGTTCTTCTTGCTCCTCTGGGTTTTGTGCAACTTCACTCCAAAACTGGCTTTCCAGGAAAAGCTATTCATTGCTGCCTACTTCTGACTCCACCTCAGGATACTGCCCAGGACATTGCTTTGGTCAGCAGACTATAAAGCCAGCTGACATGGGTTGGTGAAGTAGTGTGAGATCCTCTGACATATTTGTCTGTCAGGCCACCCAGTGGATAATCAGGCATTTAACTGCAGCATCTGGAGTGCTGTGTCCTCAGCACAGGAAGAACATGGAGCTGTTAGAGTGTGTCCAGAGAGGGCCACAAAGCTGGGAAGAAGGATGGAGCACTTCTGTGTGGAAGTACTGAGAGAGCTGGGGTTGTTCAGGCTGGAGAGTAGAAGGCTCCAGCACCACCTTACTGGGGCCTTTCAGTGTTTAAAGGGTCTTATAAGAAAGATTACTCCAGAATATTCATCAGAGCCTGTTGTGATAGGACAAAAGATAATGGGTTTAAACTAAAAAAGGATGGATTTAGTTAGAATACAAGAAAGAAGTCTTTTACAGTGAGGGTGGTGAAACACCAGCACAGGTTGCCCAGTGAGGTGGTAAATGTCCTATCCCTGGAAACATTAAAGGCCAGGTGGGACAGGGCCCTGAGCAACCTGATGGTGTTGAAAAGGTCCCTGCTCATTGCAGAGGGGTTGGAATAGATGAGCTTTAAATTCTCTTCCAGCCCCAACTGTTCTGTGATTCTGTGACATGGGACATCATGCCCTGGCTGGCAGCCCTGAAGGTTGTCCTGCTTCTGCTAAAGCAAAGGCAGAAGTGCCTGCCTTTCCTAACAGGACTTGGCATCTCTCTTTACTTGGGTAACTGGAGTTGTCTCATGTTCCACAGAGTAGTGACTAACTAAGAGATGATATTTTTAAATCAAACTCAGTAATGGAACTATAACTTTGTTTTACTAGCTAGCTGAAATACTGTCATTCTGCTTTCACATGTGCCTCCACTCAACAAAATAAGTGAGATGGGGTTTATCTAACAGTGACAAAGAGGGAGTGTAAGGGATGGCTGCTCTTGGCAGCCGAGACTTTTAAGTTTTTAAGAATTTTGCAGGAGACATGATGTAAACTTCCTTTAAAGAGAGACAAAATTACTCCATGCATGCTCACCACTCCAGCAAGTAAAAAGAACCACTCAGTTAATTTATTCTGAAATGGATCAGTTCAAAATGTACAGAAAAAGCAGTACAAATTTACAAATATACATAATCTGATTTTGCATTCTTCTGTCATCATACTTTGTAGTAGTCTAGTTTTTAAAAAATTCACTTCCCTGATACAGTCTCCTCTCACCTTCACAACATTACATCTGAATCCTTCAGTCCAAAGGGGTTCATGGTGGTTGGAGCTCTGTCCTCAAGCTCGTTATCAACCACGATTGCCAAACCCTGTGTAAACACCATTACTCAACTGCTTCATTAAATCCTCTTGGCACCTCAGTACACCTCCTTCCAGTGCTCTTCCACATACCACGACTCAATTCACAGGTTATTTTAGTAGTGAGACAAGGCAACAGTTGCAAGTATTTGCTATTTAGAGCTATTGGAAGGCTTGAGAAAACTTGCTACTACAGTTGAAAATTCTGCCATTTAAGACCAAAGGATTTATGTTGCTGGCAAAAATTGCATTTAGACCAATTGCACCTATAAAAAAAAGCTTAAATAACATCATTAAAAATTACTTTTAAATAAATAAATAATAAATAGAAATAAATAAAGCCATTTTAGAGCTAGTGGAATTTTAACACTCAACCTGTCTTTTAAAGTAATTTCTTTGCAGGTTTCTTGCAGTTTCAGTGAAGGCACCTCAAATAATCCAGTGCCATAAATATTTTCAATAGATGTTCAAGGATATTTTCATCCAGGTTTGTGGGAAGCATTTCAAAGCAGCAAAAAGAGCGTGGTCTGGTTTCTCTCTTCAGAATTTACCTAGATGGGCACTCTTTTTGGAATTATCTTTCAGGCTGTTGAATATCTCTTTGGTGCCATTCTGCCACTGAAGGACAAGATCCATGGGAGTTTTCCCTTCCTGGTTAAAAGAAACAGAGAAATATTTAATTTTATCCAATGATGGCCAAGTCCTTGTTCTTTCCTAAATACTTGTTCAGTGCATCTGCATGATGTGAATCCCTTCTGCACACACAGGCTTAGACTTATTCTTGCACCCCTGGGATCAGAGTACTTCTGCTCTACTAATCTAGTCCCAGTCCTGGTCAGACCCATGATGAAAACTGCCTGGGTTTCAGTGGGCTTAGGCTAAGGCTGTGACCAGCAGAACATGCAGGTCTTCCTTTTAGTTTCAAGTGATTAGAAATATATTTAGGTGCAATCTCAGTAAGACACTCTTCCATTTAAAGCAGAATTCAGATAAGAGTTTAACTACGGTATGAGCCACAGGAATTAAGTAGGACCAACTTTTGTGTGCAGACAATGTCTGAGAGGGCAATCTCTGGCCTTTGGGGCTGTACCTTCCATAATTGTCATACTCTGAGGAGGGATAATGCCGGAGCAGCCACACTTCAGGGAGGTGGGCAGAGAGTAGGGAGTACTGAGTACTCCAGTGACTCTTTTCCTCCTTGTCCCCTGGGGTTTTGACTGACAATGGTAAAACCCATGCTACTGCTGCTTTTGGGAGAAAAGGTCTGTCAAATGCTGTATTTTAATAAGTGGTCACAGAGCTCAAGCAATGCTACTGCTGCTGCAGCGGCTCTGAGCACAGCCAGGTGTGGGACTTGTCTCTGCTCAGCCACAGGGACGTGCTGGCCGGCTGTAAGGCTAACAGCCAGTCCTCCAGCTCTAGTGCTGGGGCTGGTCCTCACCTGTGGGCTTAACAAAAGGATTTCTCTTGCAAGCTAAGATCCTTGTTGTCTCAGTGGTGGTTGAAGCCCAGGAGCTGTGCAGAGTAAGTCTCCTGTCTATTACATCTTTTCATGATATGAGTAATTAAAGTAAATTATAGAAAGGTGTGATGTTGTCTAAGTAGCAGATAGTGGGTTCTGGTTTTAAAAGAGGTACTGGGTTTTCCTCTTTTCCCTGACCTCCCCCAAGTTACCCTTTCCCTGTCTCAGCTGTACTTTAATTAGCTCTGAAGTGATCTAATTAAGCTTGTTCAAAAAAGTCTCTCCCGGTCTCAAAACCTTGCTGTGGTGGGAAATTTATTTTAAAATTACTTGGATTTTGTGCTGTTACTTACGCAGTTCTTTAGAGTCAGATCCGCTCCGTGCAGGATCAGAAGCCGGATGATTTTGTAGCGGTTCAGCCTCACGGCGTCGTGCATTGGCGTGTCCCCTTCCTGGAGAGACAGAGAACGGCGTCAGAGCAGCCTCAGGCAGTCCCGGCACTGCCGGTCAGCCCCGGCCGCTGGGGCCGCTCCCGGCACTGCCCCGGCCCGCTGGGGCCGCTCCCGGCACTGCCCCGGCCCGCTGGGGCCGCTCTCGGCACTGCCCCGGCCGATCCCGGCCAGGCCCGGCCGCTGGGGCCGCTCCGGGCCGGGCAGCTGTGCGGGCGGGCGGCGTGCCGGAGTGGCGGGGCAGAGCTGGCGGTGCTTACCCGGTCCCTGGCGTTGAGATCCGCCTCGCAGGCGATGAGGTGCTCCCCGCAGTCGTAGCGACCTGTCCGCACGGCCACGTGCAAGGGCGTGCTGAGCAGCTGCGGGTAGGGCAGGAGATGGTCAGTGGCATGGAACAGGGGAAAGCTGCTTCAAAAACAGCTGCCAGAAGTTAGCTGCTGGGAGTAAGGGCCAGCTTTTCGTCTCCAAGTTAAAAAGCTGCAGAGTTCCAGAAGCACTTACCTTGTCTCTTGCATTTATGTTTATCCCTTTGTCCAGTAAGAATTTCAGAACGTCCAGATTTCCACCCCGGCATGCCCAGTGCAGAGCTGTAGAATGAAGCTATAATGGGAAAAATAAATTTAAAGTATTTTAATACATCATTATATTAAAAAACCACTATTTTAACCAAATTTCCAAATGAATCCAAATTAATTTTATGTGATTTAACCTAGAGCACTTCACTGTGATCACACAGTGATCACAGTTTCTAGTAAAAAAAAATTGTTTCTAGTAACAGCTTTTCTTATTTTGCCCTAATTTCTGCAGTACTGTGAATTTCTCACTCTTCACATTCATTGCATATTACTCCTAAAGACAGAGATCTTGACAATGCTGCTGTGAAAGAGGATGTGTTTTGTTTATTCCTTGAGCTTAGAAGTTACCTTTAGCCAGGTATGTGGCTGGTATGTGCTAGTTATTATTTTTTTATTTAATGCTTTTTAGGTTCTAAAATGCATAGAAAATTAAACTCAAGGGAAAGAATAGTTGTCTTTAAAAAACAAATAAATCCCCATGTTATGCAAGTCCACAAAGTCCTCTACAAGATTCAGCATCTCCTCCCTGAGCTGTGCTGGAAGGGGTCCCTTGATGCTCACACTCTGCCTGTCATTCCTCCTCTTCCTCACCCTCTGGGACCCCTGCTGGGTTAGCAAGGCTGGCAGTGCAGCCAAGGGCAGAGGAGCAAAGGAGCACCTGCAGGAGCTGTGGGTGCTCAGGACCCCCTGGAGCTGGCATTGCAGAGGAGCAGGGAGCTCTCGGACACAGCTTTGAAATCCTGGTGTTCCTGCTGAGCCTGGGGACCTGCGTGGGGACAGCGCTGGGCTGGGAGCCTGACCTCAGCTCTCCTACCCTACCCCAGGCTTTCCTGCTTGTGGCACTCTGCTGGCCAGTGCTTCTGTGATTTCCAACAACCACTCTGGCACAGGGAGGCAGACACTCCCTCCTGAAGCCTCTTCTCAACAATGTTATTTTAAGGATAAACTTCAAGGACGTTGCAAGGCCTTTTAGTACTCCTCCTCTGTAAGAAGCACTTCTATAAATGGTTCTGGCACCTCTAAAACAATGAGCTGCTTTTGGGAAGAGGTGTGAGTGGATGTGCATACCATGTCTTTCTGTTCAAGCTGGGCTCCAGCTTCCACCAGCTTCTTCACCACCTCTAGATGTCCTTCAGAGCACGCCCTGTGCAGCGCAGTGCGTTTGAACTGGCAATTGAAGCAGTGCAAGGTTAGATATCACATATGGCACAAAAGATCTTTAAATCTCTTCTCCCGCCCTCCCTAGGATGATGGCAAATACATACTCCATGCTGGTTCCTTTTAAAGAGCTTTTGAGACCTGAAATCTGCTAAATTTTAATAGCAATCTGATAGCTGAGAGCTGCCTACCCAGCATTTTAAAGGATGGGGAAAGTATCTGCAGTATGGTATCCAGATTTAAAATTCTGCCTGTTGAGTTCCCCATCCAACATGCCACACTGTGTTTTGAAAGGGCAGCTCATGCATCATGGAGTATGAGGGCAGCCACTTATTTCTGTTGTTCTACAGAAAAATTTCTTCTCTCTTTTTCCATAGCATTGGAAGATCACCTTTTACAGAAAATCAGGTTCTCCTGGGCACCAACAGCCTGCTTTTAAATATACAGACTCTTTTGAGGTAATATGATTTTGAAGGGTCTCAGTGGCCACTAGAAAACTTGATGTACACAACACCCAGCATTTATTTACTTTACCCCACCTTTTTTTGCCTCTCATGAGGGTGGAATCTACAAAACCTCATGGTAAAAGTTATTTTTGTTCTCTTCTGTAGCAGGCTTTGTATTAGGAAGAAGACCGTACCTTATCACAGACATTTGGATCCCCTTTGTCTGACAGGTATTTTTCAATTACTGGCAACTTATTCTCCAGTGCAGCTTTGAAGAATGTAGGAATATCCACAGGTCCTGTCTGAAGGAAAGAATATAGAGACCATAAATGTGTGTGGCACAAACACCCATGAATACTTTCCCAGAATAAGCTACTTTGAAGTAACTTACAATAACTTCTGGTTCAGGTTTCTTTAAAACAGGCACTTTCACTTTCTTGCATCTTTTCTTCTTCTTCAGCTCAATAATTTTTTCAAGATCCTCCAAATTTTCAAGTTTTGACCTGGCCTGTAATTTCTTCTTCTTCAGCTGGAACAAATCAGGGAAAGCAGCAAGTTGAGCTGTGTGATCACCTCTTCCCTTTCAGAGTGGCAGGACAGCAATGTGATACTATTCAGCTGAATTCAAGTAAGACTGGATGAACTTTGAAATAAATTGTTTTAATTTTTTTTTTCAGATAGGACTAATTGACTGTTGCAATAAGTTGCTAACTACATAAGAAATTCTACCTCATCTATAGTTTTTCATATGCCATTAGACCTCTTCCTAACTTCTTCTTGAGCCGTATGTTGTGACATGAATTTAAGCCAGGAGTCAGAGCAGCACTGCTACTACTACCACTACTGGCACAACAATTTAAAAAAATCTTGTGTGCAGCTTATGAAAGCTGGAAAGCTCCTGAAGTTTCAACTGACTTCCACCAAGTGATTTTCTTTAGTCACTTTTTTAAAATGATGCAGCCCCTAAATTATTGGAACTTAATTCTCTTTGCTTAAAAACATACCCTCAAGAGAAGAACAAGGTTTAGAATGATCTTAGCATTTCAGTTCACAAGTGTTTGTACATTTTGGGAAGCCACAAAGAATGTCCTCAGTCTCCTTGATGGGGCAGTTCAATAAATGTTTAAGACTTGTCCAGACCTGCTTGTAAAGAGCATCTGGGCATGAAGTGAGTGTGGGGTACTGCTGACACCAAGGGCAGGTGTTGTTTCCTGAACTGAGATCCCACAAGGTGTCTTTGGCTTCAGGAGATTCACAAACAGGAACTAACCCAGGGTGACAGATTCTGTCCCATGGTGTGATTAAGGTGAATACACTGGTATATGGTCATAGGGTATACAGTTTTGTCAACTGTGTTCTTATTCAAGTTATTTCCACCTCTTCTTTTTATTGTTCTCTGCATTTGTGGTTTGGTCTGCAGGTCATTGGCCTAATGGAAAATAATTATGCTGACTGTGGATAACTGGAAACCCACTAAGTTCTTAGGTACCTGCTTTGAAGGAACTCAAAAAAACCTCTGTAGCCAGTAATGATGTCTCTGTTGAAGCTTAAGAAGTAGTTTTTATTCTAATGTTTCTGAGACTGACTTTCTTACTCCTCATGTTTTAGAACAAAGTATTATTTCCCCTGCTACTTAAACTTTGTCATTTCCAAATCACTTGAAATTTTTAGGCCAGTTGATTGCTTATGCACAAAGAAAAAAAAATTAAAGCTATTACAGCTACTTTGTTACTGGGGGGAAAAACATCAGTTCTTAAGGATCTAGGGAGAATTGTCATGCTCCAGGAATTGAAATTAGTACTTTTCTGTAGACCAGTATGAGTTTCATTTGTAGCAGTTCTTCCCAAATGTGCTAGTGAATGTAATGCCTTGTTTTCATAAGAAGAACATTTTCATGCTATTGGTGGGTTAGTTATTTTGGTAGCAGTCATTAGGTGTGCAGCTGAAGGTGTCTCCCTGGCTCTGATTGCTCCCCCCCACTGCCAGCCAGCAGCAGCTGACCCCTGGGCACAGGAGCTCTCAGGGGTTCAGGCAGGCAGTGTAGGGGGGGTTGAGGTTCTGTCTCAGTGTTACAGGCTACACAGGTGAGCAGGTCTCCATGGTCTTCAGTGGACTTTGGACCAACCTCCTTTCATGGTGGTCTCCCAAGGGTTTTTCTAGCTCACCATGTATTTCTAACTGAGAGAGAGGCAGAACTTCAAGGACTGCAGCAGGAAATGCATACATGAGGATAAAAATCCAAGCAGAAAACCCAAGAGCCTACCTCTGCTTCTAGCTTTTTCTCCTTCTCATAATCCAGATCACCTCGGGCCAGTGAGTGCTTAGGGACTGTCTTTAGGTCCTCCTGCTTCTCTAATCTTACAGCAGCTTCATACTCTCCATTTTTGAAGTCCTCAGGGAGGAAGCTGCCAGTCTCTTTATCATCCACCTTCTTCCCAGTCACCTGTAAATGAAAACATGATAAAATATAATCCATGGATTCTTGACTGCAGTAGCCACCACCTGGAAACACAGATTGCTAAGGGCTGCTTTTACCTCATTCCTACCCTCTCTCAGTGTGTATGACAACCAGGCCAGGCCATTCTGCCTGTGCCTGGCTTAGCTGGGATGCAGCTGGCTGGGGCACATCTCCCAAGCAGTTAAATTGGGTTGCTGAGGGATTTCAAGGCTGGTTTTATCCACTGCTGTGAGTACCAATGTCCCACGCACAGCAGAGTGGCAGAAGCTTTGTGGTGCTGTGCAGCAGCACAGCTTTCAGTAGTTTTCAGAAATATTTCGGATGCCCAATTAAGTGTGTATGAAGAGATAACTTAGTAGAGGCAGATGTGTATTTTGAGAGTGGTTCATGTGGCCTAGACTGCCTTTCTGTTTGATTACCTTGTAAAATTCTATTTGTTATAGAGTCTAATGCAGAAGAAACTGTGAGAACCTTACCAAAGAATTTAAGACATCATTAACTACTTGGGCAGTTGTATCTTAAGAAAACCATCTGGCAAAACAACTGCAGTGTTTTACTGAATCATTCCTGTTTTCCCAGTTTCTCCATCAGATCAGACATTCTTAGTCTGAATCCTACAGTGGAATGTCCCATTACTTGTGGTCTAGACCTAATTTTTCAAAGACTTCTACATCAAGAACAGCAGTGGCTGTAGGAACTGTTAGTTTACTATTAGAAAGCAATACTATTATTAAGCTGCTAATTTAATGTTACAAAATACTGTAGTTTCTAACCATTAATATGTTGTCCCAGTCCCTTATTATATAGGAACTACTTAGTGTGATCATAAGATTACTGGCTTCTAAAAATATATATGAATGAAAATCAAGGACAGAGTCAAATAAGTAGCTAAATTTTGGTTGATCTTTTCCTGGTGAACTGTGCTGTGATGCCAAATCCAAACAGCTGTGTAGTTGTATCTGTGGTGAGACCCTTTCCCAAGGAAAACTTAAAATGAAAATATAATAATATAACAAACAGTATATAAGCACCTAGAGCACAGCAGTGCTGGTTTCCTGCTAAATCAGTGATCCACAAAGGTTGTCTTTCTCTGCCTGGTCCAATGACAGTCTAGAAAATAATTCATTGTGAGTAAATGAAGGAAGGTTGCACCTACCAGCTCTTCTACTTTCATCATCATGGTCGTCATGTTTGCTGTGATCCGAGGCTGTGCTCCTGTGTGGCTGAAACCTCCCTGGGCTGGGGCTCTCAGGGACCACCACGCTCACTGCACTTATATATCTTTGGGAGAACTGTGCCTGAATGAGATAATCTTCCAACCTGGGAATCCAAGTATGCCCTTGTGCTTGCCAGCTGAGAGGTGGCTCCGGCTGGTTCCAGACGCGTTAACGAGCCAGATCTGGTGTCCGGGCAGCCAGGGGCCACAGGGGCGCAGCCCCACAGCCCCGCACAGCATGGGAATCAGAATGGAATGTGAGCTCATCATTCCTGGGGCAGTGACTGCACTGCTCAGCAATGCCAGCCATGCTGGGCTCCCAGTGCCCACTAGGACAGCTGTCTGTTGATGCGGCGTTATAACTTCATCTTCTTCTTCTTTCTTTTTTTTTTTTAAGTGACATTCAGATGACTGTCAGACACTGGAAAGGGTAAATGGCTTATGTACAATGCTTATAGCAGTATCTTCCTGATTAATGGATGATTACCTCTGAAGTCTCAAAAAGCCATTATTTTCATTGCTATTTATTCTTGGATGATAAACACTTTTAGGGGAAAGGCTTTTTCTCATCATGATGACAGTCTTCTATATTTGTTGGAAGGAATTCTCTGAAGGGATTACTATACCAGAATGATGTCTCTGGTGCTAAAAGGGCCTATGACATGATGAGTTACAATCAGTGTAAGATATCAAAACAGTAAGATTTGCATTTTTTTGACTCTTGTCAATGACTATAAGCCAAATAATAAATTATGTTTATGCAAAAGAAAAAAAAGAGGGACAACTTAATACTGTTTTCTCAGGCAATATATGAGAGAATAGGGGCCCAGAAGTGATTTTTTTATTTTTTAGTATAAGATGAGATGAGATGAGATACACACAAATATAAGCAGATGATGTGTGTGTTTTGGGAGAAAAGAGCTATTGAATCCTTTGGGAAAGCTTTTCTTATGCTATGAATCAGAGTTGTCTGGAATCAGGAGAATGATCACCAGCAGAAGGCAGTTTTATAAGAGGAAGACACACTAATCTTTGCATTCAGAGAGTGTGGGTGAATGCCAAGACACATCAGCTCTGTGACAGTGCAATGCCTGGAGGTCCTGTCCGGTGAGGCACACAGGTCACCTGGCTGAAATGAATACAGCAGCTCAGGTGCTTCAAGTACGACATGTACACAAGTGCTTCACCAAATGGAGACCTATCTCGGGTGTTGTTTATACCATCAGCATCATTAGCATGCTGCATTCCTGACTTTGACCTTTCAAGGTGTCTCTCCTCTGAACTATCCCCCAGTAATCTGAGCACATCCAAACTTGTCTTCTAGTGCCCATCATACCTATGCCCTCCCTTTCCCTGAAATGAAGCTGGACATCAGGTGGTTCCTTTACCACTCAGAATATATATGACATTAGAGAATGAGTCCCCGAACGAAAATAGAGTATGTGCTAGCAACACAACCTTTCAGAACATTTTTTTCTAAACTTAAGTACAGCAACGCTATCATTCCCCCCTAGTGGTATGTTCTGAATCACACTGCCAGGCTTTTTTTCACTGCAGTTTTGTACTCCTGCTAAACGTCTCTGTGACAAGAGGCAGCTCTTGTTTTCTTGTGTTCTAACAGCTCACCTCAATCTGTTCAGTTGTCTGATTTTTATTTGGGAGATTGTCTTGAAATCCACAACCCTAACAGGATGGCTGCGTAGAATGCTTCTAGTTTAGTGGAAACAGGTCACAGCAGAGACCTGATGCAGAAAGAGAAATATAGAGGTTTGCTTTTAGAACAAAAACTGTTTAAGGAACTGTGAACTTCCTCTGGACTCGTTTTTTTCAAGCTTGGTTTTCTCTTTTTTTGCTTTCCCTCTCTTTTTTTTTTTAAACAGCTTGATATAGAAAACTGACTCAGCAAAACCTAATGTGGAAGCTTTAAGGGGATAGATCTTCCTCTGCAAATGGTACATAAATCCAGAGCCAGAGTAGCTTTACAGGAAACCTCAGTGGTCTGAGGGGAAACAGAAACCAATTCTCACGAGTGCTAACGAAAGACCACAGTTTATTCATCTTTAAAGCATCCATGATGGCTAAAAGAATAATAAAATATAGAATACTCCTTGATTATCCCAAGTTTCTATTTTGAAATTGTGGCACCCAGAAATCCACTTTAACCAAAGGCTGGGATCTAAATTAACCTAACAGTAAATGCTTTAAGCTAAATGTCATGTAAACAAAGGCAACACGATTGAAATAGCAGAAATGCACCAGGTTGTATCAGCTAAGACTCTTGGCTTATCACTATTGCTTAATATTGGAGGGGGAAGTAGTATAATGAGCTTGTAACCTTGTCCTGGACAGTAACCACTCAATCACCTTTCATCAAGTGATTTCTCATTAAGGTGGTAATAGCAGATGGTCAGTGGGCGATGTGTAACAGGAATCTGAAAAACTCTTGCCACTCCACTGAAGGATAAGGGCAGAGCAATCATCTGCAAGGTGTGAGGCAACTGGATATTGTCACAAAAATTCTCCACAGAGAAAACACCAAAGGACAGCAGGCTCAGTATGACAGACAGAAAACTGTGGCACACCCTGTTCTCTGCTACCAAAATTGAACTGACTAGAGTAAAGAATGTTTGTAATTAATTTTTCTAAGTGATTAATGGTAGAGTGAAAGTACCATGTGTGATAGAGATGATATTGCCACCTCCTGTCAAGTGTGTGGCAGTCATGTTTTCAGTGGTGTCACTGCTCAACTTGTCTGTCTTACATTTTCCAGCACTCTGCCCTTGGCCCTGTCCATGCACCCATAGATGCTGCCCTTGGATGCCACTGTGCCTGGCTGCCTGTTGTCCTTTTCCTGCTGCTAAGTAAGTAAGGTGTGAACAAATCAGCTGCTGAGGAGTGGTCATGCACCTAAGAGGTTACTGAGCCAGCAAACTGTGCCACATGTGTGCAGTCAAAGATAAATAACCAAGGTACACAGAAGAAGTAGCAACCACAGGTTACCCCTCCTGGATTAGTGATGTGCTGGTGTGCCATGGCTTGTTTATTTTGCAGTGTGTCTGTGTGCACCCAGCACACCTTATATATCCACATGCAACAGATATAACTGCATATTGCGAGAAATGCATTTATTTCCTCTCTTTCTTTTTAGCTGTTGGTTTTCCATAAAAGGCAGGAAACACTTTTATTTGTCTAACATATTCTCTTCAATACTTTTGTCAAGAAGTGAAGTGATTTGGGAATGAGTTAACTATGATTTTACATCACCGCTTGGACACGTGATGAAAATACTAAACAATGTTGTACCAGGAACTGATCCTTGTGGGAATCTGCTGGAAATAGTTCCACTCATCACTCTCACCACTTTGCAATCTGTCAGTGAGCCAACTCTTAGTTCTTCCAAAGTGTATCCTTTTAATTCCATACAATGCATGCTTTTTAATCATACCAACATATGCCATGAAATGAAATGCCACTGGCAAGACCCAAGTAAACTGCATTAACATGAATGCTACTCTCAACCAGACCTTTAATTCTGCAAAAAGACACTTATAAAAAAAGGTTTTCTTCGCACCTAGCCCTACAGATTGGCGTCCATTTTGTGTAACTTGTCTGATTCTGTCTTGATAAAGCTTTGGTTAACTCTTCCCCCTGTTTTCCCAGCACTAAGTCATGTCAGCCAGCCTGTTGTTAATTCTTTCATCATTTTCAGCCAGTCAAAACATCTTGAGAGCTAAGAAAAAAATGAAAAGGAGCTTCTCTGCTTTACTGGCACTGAAGCTGGCCTGGGATATCTTTGGATGCAGCCCAAATGGAAGCTCTACCTGAGGGAGATTCCTGCTTCTTTTGAATAAAAAGGAGCTCAGGGAATCAAGGTGATAAAGAATTGGATGGATTTTGCTTTAAAATACAAGAATGTTTTCATAAAACATCGATTTTGTAATCTCTTTGCAAAACAGTAGTGTGTCAGAACTCTGTTGTAAGACATGCGCTCAGGCAGCCTCTCTCTTTCCCATTTATTGGAATCATATAATGTTAGAATCTATCGTATTAGAAACAGCTTGAGAGAATTTTCAAATCACTATTACCTGCAAAAAATAACCCTCTTATGTTTTAATTTTGGGGAGAGAGTGTTTATTGTTTTGTGTTTTGGTTTTGCTTTTAATATTTTGCAATTGAAATGTAAATGTGTAAACCTGCTCCACATTAAATTTGCTGAAAAGCTATTTCTCCCTTTTCATGAGGTTTCATTGGCAGTAAGAGGTCACTGGATTTTTATCCAAGCTATGTTTAACAAATATCTCCTTTGATTCCAATAATACTAGTGAGGTGGAAAAGCACTGATGCAAATTTGGAATTACATTATATCATATGTTGGTCATCCTTTTGGGGCTGGAGGATGGATACTTCTGTGACTGTAAATAGGATAAGAAAATACTTTTTCTCTTTTTTGTCAGTTTATTATTATAGGTATATAGCATATAATAAAAGAAGTTTGACTTTAATTTTAGAGAAGAGAGTAAGTAAAACACCAACAGAAAAAAAAAGGCAAGCAAAAAACCTCAAATGCACCTTTTCCTCTAAAGTTTCATAATCAGAGACAAATTTATGTCTGTGATGAATTTAGAGAAAAACCTTGTGTCCTTTTGTAACACAGAAGTTTTACAGGAGTCTGTTATGAAACTGGCATGGGTTTTCTGTAATCTGTTTCATTTCAGGTTCAGAAAGTGTAGGGAGTGCATGCAAAGGGAAGAAAGAGGAGTGAATGATCTAAGTTGGTTTCTCTGGGTCTGCAAACTGCAATGTATTCATCTGCAGACACTCTTTTTAGGAAGTTGCTATTTCACAAAGGAAAACACTAAAAATCTCCCCATAGCTATTTTGTCTCAGCAGAGGCATCTGCTCACCACAGCCAGCTGGATAAGGAGACCATGGGGTAGGCCTTTTCCCCCAAAAATCTGTCCTTA